TCCTGGTCCTGAACCCGTCCAAGCGCTGCACCCTCGAGGTGAGGGGGGTCCCGGGGGGGGGGCACAGGGTGGGACGGGGCAGGAGGGGGGACACAGGGCTCAGGGAGGGCACAGGGCTGGGGCTGGCACAGCTGGAAAGGGCACCGTCCCACCCCAATGGGGCACGTCCCCCGGCCGCTCAGCTCCCCCAAGCCGGCTCCCCCTTCCTGATGCTCTTAATTAGCTTAATTAACTCTAGGGCTAATTACAAGCTGGCAGCATCCGCGGGCGGGCACGGGCAGGATGCAGCCAGCCATGCCCTGGCTGGAGCTGCTGGCAGGGGCCGAGCACCCTGGGGTGGCGTCGGGGTGGGTAAGCCGGCCAGGGAGGGTGCCCTCTGCCTGCCGTGTGCTCGTGGCATCCCCGGTGGCACCCGTGGCACCCCACGGGTGCCTGCTGCTGCCCCCGCAGCAAATCATGAAGGACAAGTGGATCAACATCGGCTACGAGGGCGACGAGCTGAAGCCCTACAAGGAGCCCGAGGAGGACTTTGGGGATGCCAAGCGCATCGGTGAGGGCACGGTGCCACCCTGGCACCCCCGGGGTGGGGGTCTGCCGCACCCCAGGGACCGGCGGTGCCCCCTCACCGTTCCCGCTCCCCGCAGAGGTGATGGTGGGCATGGGCTACACCCGGGAGGAGATCAAGGAGTCCCTGAGCAACCAGAAGTACAACGAGGTGACGGCCACCTACCTCCTGCTGGGCAGGAAGAATGAGGTGAGGTGACAACGCGGTGGCACCGCTGTCCCCACCCTGGGCCGGCCGGGCCCGGTGACGGCCCCTGCGGCCCGCAGGTGGAGGCAGGCGAGTCACGTACGGGCAGCAGCCTCTCCCTGGCCCGGGTGCGGGCACCCAGCGAGGCAGCCAACGGCACCGGCAAGGTGTCTTCGCACGGCAAGAGCCAGCGCGGCGCCACCACCTACCACCGGCAGCGGCGGCACAGCGACTTCTGTGAGTGTCCCGCGTCCCCTGGCCTGCCCCTGGGGTGGGCACCGCCTCCCCTGGCCCGTCCCCGGGACGGGCGCCGTGTCCGCAGGGTTGGGTGGGCATCATGCTTGTGGGGTCCGGGGCAGGCTGGGCACCCGGTCCCATGGCCGGGGGGGG